AACACAAGAAGAAAATGTCAAATATTCATTTTTAAAACAGTCATGCTGGCTCGCTCTACTTGGAAAATTGCCACTACACACTCTTACATTCTACATTTTACCCACTTATAGATTACAGCTTATAGCGTACATTAATTAAATATAAAACATAATACTTTCATTTTTGTCAAATAATCATTTTTTGTAAGTACTTATAATGTCAAGCTAAAGATAGGATATCGAATTATTACATATCTTTAATTAAAAAAAAAAGTTAGATTTCAGAATATTAAGAACAATGTAAAACTTTGGGAGTACTATCTGTTTATTATTAAATCGTGCTGTTTTAAACAACCTCAAACAATATGTATATATTAAAATTTTAATACATCCTGGCAATTACATCCTGATTTACGCGATTTCTAGTAACTCACAGTTGTATCTTTGTTTCATATAATTTTAATTTGAGCAATGAGTACGTTATTTATGATACATTTTAGAAACATTGTTTAAAGTTTTATGCATGTATATATATGTGTGTCTGTGTGTGTGTGTGTGTGTGTGTGTGTGAATTATTTTCAGATCGGGTACATCTGTAAAGGAACAAAATGAATAAAACGTGACAAAAGGAAAAACTATTCTTAACCGACGCGTTTCATCCGCTGAGGAACGTTTGCCGTGATAAAGACCATCAGATCACGAAACGCGTTAACTAAGAATAATTTTTCCTCTTGTCTTTTCATTCACATATATATATATATATATATATATATATATATATATATATATATATATATATATATATATATATATATATATATATTTTTTATCGCGTTTATCGATTTTGATTGTAATTTCGTCAAATGTCATTTCAAAGATAATGCAATTTCACATTGATACAGAAAGTTGCAAATGTCTTCCCAGTTTTCAAGGGTTTGCTACCGAAACGAAAGAAAAATGAATGCATAAAATGGCGACTGGATGGGATATATATATATATATATATATATATATATATATATATATATATATATATATATATATATATATATTAGGAAAGTTATTGATGTAAAAAAATTTGTTTGACGCGTTTCGTCTTTTAGCACTTCATCGGACAAAATAAAATTTTGGGTTGATGTAATTATATATATATATATATATATATATATATATATATATATATATATATATATATATATATATATATATATATATATATATATATATTATAATAAAACCATATTTTAAATCAATTAATTTATAATATTAATGCTCTGTAAATCTACATTGAGCACTATTTTGTAAAAATAAAATATCTATAAGAATACCGGATTGATTGTGTGTGTGTGTATATATATATATATATATATATATATATATATATATATATATATATATATATATATATATATATATATATATATATATGTAACAAATATATGGATATAGATCCGACAGTATGAAGAAAAATATATACGGAAAAAAAAAACAAAAAAATCAAAGACGATGTGCATAAGAACAAGACTTATCCAAACAGATAACTGAAAGTTTTATAAGGTTTAAACGGAGCGCTGATCTTATAAAACTTTCAGTTATCCGTTTGATAAGTCTTGTTCGTATGTACATCGTCTTTGTCATGTTGTATTGATAATGTTATAACTTATGAATATGTCCTGAAGATGGTTTATTAGACCGAAACGTCCGACGTTGATATATTAACATTAAAACAGCATAATTGTATATAAGGATTTTTGTTTGTTTTTTCCGTATATATTTTTCTTCATATATATATATATATATATATATATATATATATATAGTTAGATAGATAATTAGATATAAATCTATTGTGCTTCATTGGCCAGAATATAAAATAGTCGAGCCAAAACATACTACCCAAAGTCCGAATATTACTTTCCAGCATGAAGCAAACTGTTGCTGCTTGGTGTTGACCTCAGTGTCCACCTTTATATTTATTTATTTTACAACTAACATTATTTTTATTATAACCTTATTTCATTTTATTAACAAATGTTTTGGTCGATAAACCTTTCGTCAGTGCAAAATTCAGAAATAAAAACTAGCGATGATGTGACTTGAACTCATATCTCTCGCCTCATTTCCAACTAACAAAGTAAAGATTCTGGCCCCAGAAATAAAAAAAATAAATACTTTATAAGTAAGCGTTATATTTTGTAATTTCTAATCCAAAATATGTTTCGGAAAGTTACTGTGCAATATCCAGATCATATGTTTTGGAAATCAGATAAAATGGGTGTTGTCAGTGATCAACAAGATTAACTGACAGATAAGGGCCACTATATGTTTTAGGTAAGTACAAACATATTATATGCATGTTCTGGTAGGATAACAATTATCGATACAGTGAGTGTCGAACCTAGTTAAAATTCTGACCTAGTCCGTTGCGTTCACCATCAATTTATTTGAGAAAGGCATGAATCCATCACCCAGTAAGGATCGAACTCACTATTCAGTTATAATTGAAAGTCTTGCTAACCATTACAACATGTCGAAGTGCCGAAAGAATTACCAAGCGTAGCTTAAATGTGGCACAAGGTCGAAAGTATGGAGTACACAGTGAGAATCGAATTAACTACTCTGTTGTAATTGATCTAGCGAAAAAAGCATGCTAAACATTACGCCACGGAGAAACGCTCAAACAGCGTCTCTAATATGTCTTTGGTGTCTTTCCTCGCTATCAAAAAAAGTCATTATTTATGAGGTATTGGAAGGGCGTAGTTTATGCAGTAACTAATTAAGGAACGAACAGACCCATAATATGATATTAGAAACAGCAGTAACGTTTTGTATCCAAAAAGCAATTATTGATAAATTTTGCATAATATTTTCAAAAAGTTTCCTTTTTTTCGTAAAGAAAAGTTATGTTTTGTTTAAGTATTCATTGCATTTCGGTGATCAGTCGTTACTTTCTTTCCTCGTAAAATAATATTAAAAAAGACATTATTAAAACCAAAATAAAAACTGACTTTCATTCTTCTTCTTCACAAAATTGTTGTTATTTCTCGTAAAGAACGGTAAAATATGAATTTTCATTGATTTATTTGAGTATTTCTTATTTGATTTGTTTATTTCTTGTCCCTTTCTTCTTTCCTTCCTTATCAGTAATTTTTTATCCATTTTTTTTTTCTTTTACCATATTTGCTTCTAATTACAAAACATCTTTTTTGCCCTGTTTATCTTTTATTTTTGTTTTCCTGGTATCTTGAAAGATGAACCCAGGCGATCAGGATGTTAGTTAATGAAGCATCGGGGCGTAGTTTAGGCTAAAAGTGATGGCCTGGGGCCGTGACGGGAACAAGTTAGGTCTCTCAACGAGAAGCTACAAAGAGACGACAGCTTGACACATAGCTGCCCGACCAATATTGTCAATAGAGAGGTGACTGACTTAGGAGCAGACAATTGCAGCAAAATGCAAACTTTCCACTTGCCATAGGACTTATTTTGTCGGAGAGCGCTCCCAAAACGAGAACTTAAATTGTAATCTCGTGTTATTTTCTTGACTTCCACTTTGTTGAGGATTGTTTTTTGAGGGTTTATCTATTTTATTTTTTATTTTTACAGTACTTTTTTCTGTTATTTATTTGTTTATAGTTTCCCGTTGCTTATAAAGCTCCTTGATTCGCCCCCTTCCCCAAAAGTGTTGAACATCATTTCTCACAAGAACCTAAATTTAATTCTCCATTTGACCTCGCCGATCTAATTATCCTTGTTATTACTCTTCTAAATTTTCGACACTCACGCAACCTGATTCTACCTGCCAATATATCTTCATTCCTATTAACAGACAATCTTTTACGACCTTGAATAACATTCTTAACGTTCCCGTTTTCTCTTTTCTCATTCCCTAGTCTCTTTATTTGCTTCAGACTTTTTCCTTTCAATATTATCTTCTCCATAACTATCTATAGCATCAATTTGTTTTAGTCGGTATCTATCTATCTATCTATCTATCTATCTATCTATCTATCTATCTATCACACCATCCATATATATCATTTACCACAGCCAATCTGTCTATACTAATCTCTTCATATCGTTGTCCGTCAATTTTTCATTCTATCTCATCTATTTTATGCATCAGTGTACCTCAGTATTGTCACATCAGCCTTTCCCGTCCCTCTCTCACAATTATCTTTCTTTCACACTCACTCTTTTTCGTCTCCTCCTCCTCCTCCTCCTCCTCTCCCTCTATCTCTCTCTCTCTCTTTTTCTCTTCTCTGTACCTGTGTATATATGTATCAAGAAAATTAACTCCTCTCCCTGTCACCCAATATGTATATTGATCTTTTTTGCATCCTATTCTGGTGAGAATGAACTCAATCTCTGGCTTTTCTCAATTACCCTCTTCCACTCTCCTTCCTCTCTAGTTTACTCTCTTTTTTCCTTTCTTTTCACCTCCATCTCTCTCTCTATCTCTATCTCTCTCTCTCTCTCTCACACACACACACACACACCTATTTATCTGTCTTTCTCTCTCTCTCTCAATTTCTCTACCCAATTTATATATATATCTTTACATAATTTTGTATATTTTCTATTGCTTCCCAACGTTTTTCACTCTGCCTTTTTTTTCTCTTCTTTCAGACCAGACTGGCCGGCATTTTCTCCAGAATTCTTGATGAAAAGGAAATGAGAACTTACGAAAGACAAAACAGAATCACAGATTAAGAGCAGTGACCATAGAAAGAGTAATTTTCCTGGCGTTATTTTTTCTGCTTATATATATATATATATATATATATATATATATATATATATATGTGTGTGTGTGTGTGTGTGTGTGTGTGTGTGTGTGTGTGTGTGTGTTTGTGTGTGTGTGTGTTTGTGTGTGCGTGTGTGTGTGTGTGCGTGTGTGTGTGTGTGTGTTTGTGTATGTGTGTGCGTGCACGCACGTGTATGTATGTATGTATGTATTTTATCGTGTTCGTCGATTTTGATTGTAATAATTTCGTCAAATGTCATTTCACGGATAATGCAATTTCACATTGTTACAGAAAGTTGCAAATGTCTTCCTAGTTTGCGGGGCTTTGCGAGGGAAACGAAAGAAAAATGAAAAATGAATGCATAAAATGGGGTCTGTGGGATGAGTGGGTGAGGCAAGGGTCAATTTATGAAGAACACACATAGAAAGAAAGCTTCAACAACCAGAGCCAACAACATAAACAGCCGAAAAATGTAATGATTGAGCGAATAATGGTTTGACTTTAACAAATATCGCTGGAGGCGAAATAAGTTTTATCAACGCCGAAATAAAACACTGCCACATGTCATCATCACAAGGAGAAGAGAAAAACAGAATCGGGGCAAAACGCTTTTTACGTGGTCTAATAGCCACAGAGCTTGCTGATTTATGCCTAAGGCTATTGAGAGATTAATCAATCTCTCTCTCTCTCTCTCTCTTTCTATCAATCTATCTATCTATCTCTTTCCAAAAATTTTAATTTAGACTCACTGATTGTGTGTGTGTGCAATACGATTGACTACACCCACAAACACACACACATAAAATATATTTTTTTAAAAATATGTGTATGAAGAAGTTTCAAATGTTTTTCTAAAGAAAAAAAAAAAACGGTGAGGGTTCCTCATGTGTATTCAAATTCTAATTTCAGAAAGGTTGCTGGGAACTTTTGCACACACAAAATAAAAGAAATCGTATTTGAAACAATACCTTTAAAGCAAATACTCCAAATTTCAAATTAAGACGGACCGTTAAATTGTTTGCTTGCTTGATTGATTAGTTGATTTTTTGTATTCGTTTTTGTTTTTTTTGTTTTTTCAAGCATATTTTTATTGTCTATGCCAACGTGGATATTCGGTGTGGAATGAGAAATCGGAAAGCCGAGTTCAAATTCCAGTAGAGTTTGTTAGTTTCACTTGGGAAAGGTATGAATCTATCTCTTCTGACCACAACTATGGGTTGAATAGCAGAACAGACTGAGTCCTATATATACTGCAGAAAGAAAAAGGTAACCTGCTGAGGGAAAGTTTTCTGCCTAGCCAGTCTTTAGTCAACAGAGACATGATCGTCCAAGTGTGTATCTCATATATGACACTGATGTTGAGGTGTAAATTTCATTTTGTGAAAAAAAAATGATCTTCTCTATGAAATTATCAGTATTATGAAATAAGAAAAGGCGTTAGTTTCTACAAATGGAATACATGATTTATATTTTTTTACTTGAAATTCATTTAGATCTGTCAGAATATTTTAACAACATTCTACATAATGATAATCATACAGCATTTTGCCTTTTTGCTTTACTAAGTCCAGTAAATAACCAAAGAATGACAATAAAAAAAATCTGCTCCAAGTTGTATCTATTTCATTCACTGCTCTTTATCTACCTATCCAAGTCAGTTCATTTCTAAGACTATTCATAACTATTTCAGTTGTACTTTATTTATATCAGTTTCTATTTTAGCAATGTATCTATCAATCTTAGAATATTTTTATCTACCAATCAGTCTCTCTCACTCCCCCTCTCTTTCTTTCTCTCTCTCTATATATATGTGTGTGTCAACGTATCAGTTTTTCACATCTATCTCATTCATAATTATCTCTATCACTTTATCTGTCTATTAGTTTTCCGCATCTATCATTCATATCTCTCTATTTTTTAGTAATGTTCACCCAATACAAGGCCCGAGAGCCACTCAAAGTAGAGGTTTACCGGTTACTGTGTGGAGATGTATTAGTGTAAGAAAGGGCAAGCTAACAGGAAAGCTAGACAGTTAATTCTAGACTTGAAGAGGTCAAGATTTAATTAGTAAATAAAATTTCAGAGTTCAGGCAGGGACATTAGAAGTATAGAATGGAAGTAGACTTTAGAAGAGACTGGAAACCCAATCCTAATCAGGAAACAATGGATGAACCTCTACTCCTGTTCAAAAGACCGGAGATGAGTGTGAAGAATATGATAGGCAAACCTATCTACTCCTATTAGGAGAGAAAAAAATAATTACTAAATATTTCAGATAGAGAGTACAGAGTTGAAGAAACTGGAAACCCAATCCTAAACAGGAAACAAGGGATGAACCTCTACTCCTGTTCAAAAGACCGGAGAGGAGTGTGAACCAGATGATAGGCAAACCTATCTACTCCAATTGGGAGAGGAATAATAATAATAATAATAATAATAATAATTACTGAATAAGATTTCAGATTTCAGGTATTTATCCTGCAAAAACCTTAAAAAATCATGAAAACAAAGAAACTATTTGGGTTTATTGTGAATTGATCGGGTTAGCGTGAGATTTACCAAGCAAATTTCAGTCGGTGTAAGGAGTTGTTAATTTTCCGCCAGTCTACGTATTGTTTTTGTTGACCTATCTATCTATCTATCTATCTATCTATCTATCTATCTATCTATCTATCTATGTCAGTCTCTTCATATCTATATATCTGTCTGTCTATCTATCTATTATCTTCCTCCTTTCATCACTCCTGCACTTAACTTTATCCATATATCTGCATAAACTGCATACTTTTGAGAGTAAATAAAAAGAAACTGACGATTTAACAATCCTGTCTACAGTCTACAAATAGACTGCATTGAAAATCAGAAAAAAGGATTGTAAATTATATATCTATAATAATTTCATATGCAATGGTAATTATAAATTTAATGAAATAAAAATTTGAAAATTTTTACAATTCGTTGAAATTAATTTTGTTTTTAACTATGTCTCTTCAGTGCGTATACAGTTATTGATTTCCATTTTCTTTATTATCTGTAAATTGTAAATTGCCATGGATTTTCTGCGGTACTATAGAGGAATGGTTCCCCGTTTCTTATTCAGTTTTGAACTAAGGTTTTCCCTATCAAGAGCCCAGTCCGCCCTACTATTTTGCCTATGAGAGGAGGCGGAGCGGACAGATGGATTCATATCTTTCACAAGGGCATTAATTTGAACTAGACCGAAATTTGAACTTGGCATTCTGATTCCATTTTCCAATGCACGGAAGTATTCTCTTTTAAATTTACAAAAGAAATTATTTCAAGTGTCAATTATTGCTTCAGAACATCTTTGTCAGTGTAGAGATATATCGAGAATATTATGTCCTATACACTTTTAAATAGGCTAAAAATGGTAGCCAATGAAATGTTTTTCAAAAAGAGACGACCGGTCTTTGAACCCAAGCAAAAGTCAGGATTTTGATTATAGCTTCCACTCCAATATTTAGAAGGTTAGTGTAACACTAGCCACCTTAACACATTTCTCTCCAGTATGACCGTGTATTGAACTAAGCTTAGCATTGTAAACGCCTAAACAAATTCCAAAATAAATTGTGATGTTTTCTCTTATAATTTGAATACTGGAATCTAAATCTTCAACTATAACTGATGTCATCTCTTTCAGTAGAGTAAGAAAATGCTGATATGTTTATATGCTAGGAAAGTTGATTCAATGTGTCATGCTAGACTGTTTTTTTTCTCTATCATTCGTGCATGCATTTAAAATTGCTGCCACATTTGGTTTGGTGCTTCTGCTACGTATTTAGAGATTCTTGATAAACCCAAAGGAAAATATTATGTTATAGGTTCTGATCTGTCATCTCGGCTTCAGTTACATTCTCACCGCTGTAACGTAGCTTCCCTGTGCCTTTTCTATCAATATTTTCATAGTAAAATGGTATTTTTCGTCTTTGGTAACTAGACTTTATGAATTTAAGTCCTGTACTAGATTGGCCGTAAGGTTTCATTATTTTCAGTTAAAATGGCTAAATGCAACCGTAAGTTCTACTCTAACAGTTTCTTCTTTTTTGCTTATTTCTTATGGAACTCTCTTCCGGCATCCCGCTTTCCAGTCAACTTTGATCTTCAATGATTTAAATACAATGTCAATCGTTATCTTCTGTCTTTTTAATTCTCGTTCTGTTGTTGTTCTCTCCCCTTAATAATGTTTGATTTTTCTCATATTTTCTAACAGTCAGTAATTGCGTTAGTGGTTTTATTGCCTTGCTTGCGGTGAAATGATTAAAAAACGTAATTTACATAAGATAAATTTGTTTAGTAATGTAAAGTGCGACGTTACTAAGGAAAAATATAACATCTCTTTTTAACACACACGCACGCACACACACACACACACACATATATATATATATATATATATATATATATATATACATGTGTCTGTACATGCGTGTGTATGTGCGTGTATGCGTGTTTTGTGTGTGTGTGTGTGTGTGTGTGTGTGTGTGTGTGTGTGTGTGTGTGTGTGTGTGTGTGTGTAAAATCTTATATATCTTTGAGGGAAAGATTTTTCAGTATCAGGGACAGAACGTACATAATTATCTTGCAGAGTGGCAGGCGGGAAAACTCCCATAAACTTCTCCTGGCTTGGCCCTGTTGTTCAGTGCCTTCCAAAGTTGCATACGTCTGAACTCACTAAAATGAGGTGCAATTGGTGCTAAAGGATGATGGATTTATTTGGTGATCTTTATTGTAATCAGTGTCACTGAATTCATCAATTAGTCATTATCCCTCAAAAGTCCAAAATCAGAAAAGTATAGCATTTATTTTTCAAAATGAGAATATTGTCAATCAAAATGATATAATTTTTTTTTTTTTCAAATAGACTGGTTCGAGAACATATTTTCGGGCAAGGTGAGTAAATGAAGCGAGTTTGGATTGTGTGAAAGAAGCCAGTCTTCAGTGTTTTTCTGAGTCTTGATCTCTCAGTGAAGGGGCAAAATTAGTTTTGGTACCTACCCAAGATTAAGTTCGTAACTCTAAGGTAGGTTAATGATTTTGGCACCCGTTCCCGGCTTTATTTCAGATTCCTTGCGAGATTCCATTTTTTAATTTAATCGCAGTTTGTGAGTTTTCACTTCTTTCGGGTGGAAATTTTCCTCCTTCATAAAATATTTCTCCTGTCAAAAGACATCCTCTTTCCAGAAAACACTCCATTTGAATCGGCGCTATTCCATTTTGATTGGCACAATTCTCATTTCTAAAGTAAAATGGTATATATAGCAATGTTCAATGTTCATGCCAGATTATTATCTAAATAAAATCAAACTGAATTGTCTCATTTACATGTGGACAGTGTGCCACCGATGACGATCAGACTCTACCAAAGTATGACAGACTTGGAAATTAAGCAAAATCAAAAACATGCATATATGCACATATAACTTTTAAAGCATAAACTGGAAGCACCAAACTGGAGCAACTAATGAATACCACTGGTCACGTGATTCTAAAAGTGTCTCTCCGTGCAAAAATTAATTATCTACTTTATTATAAAGGAAAGGCGAATAACAAGTTTAGAGGCATAAGATTTTCAGTCAACAGTAACATTGCAGGCACCGTGAAAAAATGAACAGTGTACCAAATAGAGGATTTGATTATGCAAAAGATACAGTTTAAAATAAGCCAATCATATGCACTACCTTTGAAATGTTAAGTTGAGCAAATTGAAAGTTTTTTTTTTCGAAGACATCAGTGACGGTAAAAGAGGAGATATTACAAATTGCACCATTTTGATGGATATCAATGAAAACTTAAAAGATACGATAATCTCGTGTAGGAAAATTTGGAATATGGGAGAGAAATGAGAGGCAAGTTATTAATTAACTTCTCAAAATTATAAAAATGATTACAAAGAAGAAGTTATAAAAATTAAGTTGTAAATAAACTTGGAATAAAAAAAATAAATGGAGAAAAAAAAATGAAATTTATAATTTTTAATTATGATTGCTGAAAAAGACAGTACCGTGAAATATATAACCGTCATAAACTATGTTAATATTGGTAGGGATCATAGAATTGTAGGTTGCAGAGTCAAATTGGACTTTAATAATGAAACTATATGATTGTTGCAAAGACAACATATTGGAATATTTACAGAAATACAAGAATATTATAATACATATGACAGTAACACTAATGCATAAACTAAAAAAACAAGTTCTGAAAGACTTAATCATATAAACAAACAATCTAACTTAAAAAATTTCATTCAATTTGGGAAGAAATATTCTAAATCTATTTCACAATTATTAATAGTAAAAAAAAAAAAAAATAAGCACGACACGAAACAACTAACTGACGCCTAAAGAGAAACATGACTATCACCGACGAATAAAAGCTCGACACTCGAAACCACGAAAGAAACACAGACAAATCAACACACACAAAAATCGCTTATGAAAATTGAAAGCGCTCAAAAGACATTGGATAATTCATGGTAAAATTATCCTCGGAAACCAGAAAAATGGTTGGAACCGTTGAAAATTTAATTAAAAGAATCTTAAACAGAATTGTCGCTTGTTTTCAGCTTTCTCTCACCTAATTATAAATAAAATACGGGGTTTAGTAAGACAATTTAACATACGAGAGTTACTGTCACGATCAAAAAGCCCTTAAAAATGTTGGTTATTTGGCTAGATTTCAGGTTGTAGGTCTGCGCGAGATCTTTCAAATCACCCCGTATAATTGCTGTACCAGCTACTTGAGTTTTGTACCCGAAGCAATTATCTTTAAGTCTACTTTATTCTGATTATTTTTAATAATATACAAAATAGAAATTATTCTTTTTTTATTAATTCTTATTCTCGTAGTACGCAACGAAAATGTCGAAAATATTGGGAATATCTATTTCAATTTCTGTTCGTCTAATTTCATTCCATTTAAGAGAATAAGATTTTCCGTCACAAATTTAAAATTTAGATATGAAAACAGGTTTCTCAAAGTTAATATTCATATTTTACAGACGTTAGATGGCAAAAAAAAATCACTGGAATTGATGTGTTGCCAGTTATTCATGCATCTGAGAAAGATGTTCGAAGCAAAAATGGGATTTTGAACATTTTCTCTAACAAGCCGAGAATTATTCCAAATGATTGGACGGAGATGAATTCTAGATTTGGATTTCCTGCCTTCAGGGAGAGTTCTTCTCAGAAGGAAGGCAACATATTCGTCGCTACCTCACATTCATATCTTGGGGCGCGGGTGTGCGCAAGCAACGGTAGGTGCCAAACTCAGTCGACAGTACCCACCACACATACCTGTTTTATTGTATAACGATTGGGTGACGCCAAGTTTAGTTATGTGTGAGTTACGTGGTTTAGTAGTTATATTAATGTGTGTTCTGTCGTACACGTAGGACTTTAATTGAATTCTTTGCTTTATGTGTGTTTATGTTGCTGCAACTATACAAGTTGGCAACAAATACGTGATTGCAAATTGTACATCTGTGCTTTCATATGCCTGATTCTGCTATGGCAAATATATCTGAGCATGATTACTTATAAACAGGTGTAAATATGAAAAAGCAAGCAAGTAGAAAACTGCATATTGGATTTTTGGTTTTTGCATATAGATATAAAGTATGCATGCGTATTATTTTGTAGCTTTATTTACATCGGCGTATTACAAAAGTGTGGGTATATGCCTATTGTTATCACTTTGAATTAGAAATGTTTATGAGTATATGTACATAAACAAATTTTTCATCAAGTCTCCTGA